GAACCCTGGGGGCAGTGTGGAGAAGGGAGAGGCGCAGCTCTGCATCTGGGCATGCCAGCATTGAAGGCCAGGATTACAGGGTGTTGATGTCTTCAGACTTGGCCATGGTGATTTTGAGGTGGCCACGGGGCTCCAAGGGAGAGATGCCTAGGAGGCTGTGGGCTCCAGGAGAGCCCATGAGAGGATATGGGCCAGAGCCAGATCTCTGGCTGTCTGGAGACACAAGTGGAGAAAAGGTAACAGAAACCATAAGTAGGCAACTTGCCCAGTGAGAGTGGGATGCCTCTGCTATGTTCCCCATCTGCAGAGATCAGAGTGAAAGAGAAACCAGCCCTGGAACTGTGTTCAGGTGCCAAGGTCAGGGGAGGGGACAGTGTCACAAAGGTGCCAAGATGTTTTTGAAAAATCCACCAGCTTGCAGCACTACCACATGCAGAGCCCCCGCAGCCTGAGCCTGGGAAGAGTCCCAGCAGCAAGAATTGGACAATCTGTCCCTCATAACAATGGCAGATAGCTCTCTCTGGAGGTGCCGGGGGAAGAAGGAAGCCAGTGTAGCCAACCCCCACATCCAGCCCTTCTTACCTCTTTGCTCTGTATTCCCTTGGCTCTCCAGTCCTTCCTGCCTAGCTCCTGAAACCAATAACAGCTGTGTTTCCTTCCAGAAAACACAGAAAAATTGGCCCTTCCTGGGCCAATTCCCTAAGCCCTTGCTCTGGGCCGCAGGGCTGATCAGTCCCTGCACTACTTATGTCCCTCTCATTAAGCGGTGAACTCCCTGGGTCAGAGCCTGTCCTATCCTGTGTCCCAATGGACTGTGTCAAGTCCCTGTTGAAATGCTCTGGGTCAGAAGACTTTGGATTCAAATATTTGCTTTGCTACATCGTAGCTGTGTGACCCTGGGCAGCTTATGTAGCCCACGTAAGCCTCAGTTTCCTTCTCTGGAAGCCAGAGAAGAGTGCCTGTCTCATGGCGTATTTGTGAGATCGAAGGAAAATGCCATGCCAGATATGCTGCAGTCCTCGGCAACAGTTAGCCCCCTCCTCCCTTCCCACCCCGTCTGCAACATGTGAGTATAGACACTTCAGCCTCAAGAGGTCAAGGCCCCCAGGAACTGTTCCTGCCTCATCTACCCGCCTCTAGCAAACGTTATTCTCTGGCCCTGTAGATACTCGCCATTCCCCAAATTCATCCTGTTCTTTTCACCCCTCAGCCTTTGCATGTCCTGTACGCTCAGCCTGGAGTGTCCTTCCTCCCCAGCAAACCACTTCTTATCTTTCAAGACCTGGCTCAGCTTAAAAACGTGATTGTTGAACTGAGCTATGCTGAGTGAGGGAGAAGGGAGGGCCAGAGCATGGGGAAGTGGGAGGAGGGGCCCAGGTTGGGGTGGGGGTGGAGTGAGACCCCTGAGTGCTGCACTTCCCAGCATGGCCTGGTGGGCTCCTGGAGGAGGAAGAGTCAAAGCCAAGAAGGGCTTGGCTGCCACCTTTGGGAAATTCCTGCTGGCGGGACTTTGGGTGGTCCTTTGGGGAGACAATAGCCTGCTTGAGGTCCAGCTACTGCAGGCCTTCCAGCTGTTGCTTCTTGAGGGAGATCCCTGCAGGGTGGGGGAGGAGGCCAAGCGCTTTCTGGTGGTTTCCAAGCTGGGTCAGGCACTCTGCGCTGGGACTTTCTGTCTCCAGTTCTGGCCCTGGTTATCCTATCTGAACCTAAGATGACCTTTAAAGTCGTGAGGAGGGCCTTGAGGGGAGGGGGAGCCCTGAGCCCATAGGGAACTCAGGTCAGTGTCCTTCAGCCTAGAATATGGAGCCTGAGGCTCAGAGACAGGTAGTCATTGGCTTTGCCATGCTCCCTCCCCCAACTGTGAGTCCCAGCTCATTTCTCCGTGCTTACATTTACTCCTTGGAGCCCTATCCTACCCAACCTCACTCCATATCATGAGTCTCCTGTCCTCAATGAGAGTAGGATTTCACAACAGGTTGGAGGGAAGGAAGGAATGTCATGGCGGGGGGGGGGGGGGGCACGGAGGCATGGAGTGAAGGGACAACAGCCTAGGTACTGAGACTTTCCCAATGTCCCATCTCTGCCCAGCCTGTGCTGAGATCTGAGGCCTCAANGGGGGGGGGGGGGGGGGGGGGGGGGGGGGGGGGGGGGTCACGGAGGCATGGAGTGAAGGGACAACAGCCTAGGTACTGAGACTTTCCCAATGTCCCATCTCTGCCCAGCCTGTGCTGAGATCTGAGGCCTCAAGAATGGATCAAATCTGGCCCCACCTCCAGGGAGCCCTCAGTCTAGTGAGGACGGCATCGTTCTCCATCGTTTCAAGCATTAGTGCTTAGGGCTCTGGGCTGTAGCATCTGAGGGGTGGCTGGAACCAAGCTTATATCTTTACTTCTTCTTGACCCCCAGGGTACAGCTGAAGTTCAGGCTGGTGCCTGGCAAAAGCCAGGCTCTCCTGACACTGATGGGGAGATCTCTTCCCCTACAGAGAGGCTCTTGATGCACTGCTCCTTCCAGAGACAGAAGATTGAGCTTCTCAGTACAGGAAGAGACCAAATGACCACCTTGGCCAATCCCCTCCATCTACTTCACCAAGAAAGTGAGTCTCAGAAAGCAGACTGGGCATTGAATGCCTGGCACCCAGTTGTAGGGTCTAGGCAAGCTTACCATCTGGTTCACAGCTGCCTGAAATCTGGCCCAATAAGCAAGGCCTAGCCCGGGATGAAATAACCATCCCCAACCCTGCCCACTCCCTAGTCACTAGCACAGAGAATAGTTTTCTTTGTCTAGAACCAGTGGAGAAACGCCCAAGTAGGTGGAGTCTCACTAGTGTGGGATCTGTGGAAGGGAAGAGGGAGCCCTGAGGGTAAGGGCAGAGAGAAGAAAGAGATTTGGCATCAAGACAACCTGGCTTCTGGCCCCCACTCTGCTGCTCCTTTGGTGGGTGACCTTGGGTGAGTCATTTGCCCTCTCTGAGCATCTGTTTCCTCAACTATTAAAAAGGGTGAGAGATTGCCACTTCATTCTCATAAAGCCAGTGATGCAAAGTTCAAATTTTAATCCAGGACTGCTGGTTCTTTCCATTGTCCTACCTGTCTGTCCTCAATTGGCTCTTTTTGAACCCAGGGGGTCTCGAAAGCAACACAAACAATATTAGGAATATTAGGAACAAAAGAAGATGAACCTCGAAAAAGTGAAGTCAAACAGCATGTGTCAGAAAGGTTACTTCCTGCTGGGAGAATCAGTCTGGAAGGCTTCCTGGAGGAGTTGGCATTTGGAGGAGTTGGCAAATTTGGAGGAGGAAAATGGCAAATTTCACCAGAATGGGGGAAGAAAAAGATACCTTCCTGGTTGAGGTAAAAGCTATGAGCAAAGAGGCAGAAGTAGGAAAAGTGTCTTCTCTGAAACCACAAAATGGGAATGGTTTTGGGAGATCATTTTCTCCAACTCCTCCCCCACAGACGGGGAAGCTCTGCTAGTTGCCTAAGGACACGTGGTGAGTTGGTGGTGGGGCTGGGCTGAGAGCCAGATCTGACCCTGACTCCTCTTTGTAGTGTCAGCCCCTGGCTGGGACAGCTGCCCCTCTCCCTCAGGAAAGCTGGTCCCTGCTCTTTCCCCAGGATCCGGGCTCTGTACCCAGCCCTAACTGAATTCCCACATCCCTCAGGGTGCTCTAAGCTCAAGCTGGAGCTCAGGAAGCAAGGCTTCTCCTGGCCCAGTGGGTAGATACTGAGGTCAGCCTCTTGTATGTGTGGGAGGTGGGGGCAGCTAGAGAATATTCCAGAGCTGAGCCCTGCAGGGGTCAGAATAACAGTGGGGCAGGGGCAGGGGGCAAGCACAATACAGTCAAAGTCTCTAGTTTCTTCCCATACCTATAAGATCACCAACCCTCCCATCCTGCATGAGCCAAGGCTGATGGGGAATCTGGTTTGTCAGGGGCCCATCTCCAGTCCAAATCTGACCTCACTGTCGTCTCTCCTGTGAGGCCCCCAGAGGAAGCATCCACCCCACACTTCCTGACATTCCACGGCCCCCAGCTGCGTCAGCCTGCCCGTGAAGCCCTCACTGCCGCGTGCACGAGATGAGGAGCAAGTTCAGCCTTGCCTGAGCGGCGGTGAGGCTAACACAGCTGGCGGAGGACAGAGCTGGAAAGAGGCCAGAGGTGATAACCACAGGGCAGCCGGCCCGGAGGGCCACCCCATCTGAAGACCCTTTGTTTCCTCCACCTCCCTCGCTTGCCCAAAGCATGCTCAACTGGGTGCTCCGCTCCCAGAACCGCCACCGTCTTCACGAGGTGCTTCAGTCACACTCCAGGCTTGGCTCTGCAGGTCTCTCTCTGAGTCTGTTTCTCTTCTGTGCTGATCTTTCAGATTCTTTTTGGCAGGTCTGCCTGTCTCTCTCCTGTCTCTGTCTCTGGTTCTCTCTCCCACACTGTCCCTGCTTCTCTTCATTTCTCCCTGTCTCTTCTGCAGCCAGCTCTCTGGGGGCTGACCCCCCCCCCCCTTTCCCTGCATGCTCCTGCAGACACCTGCTGGTCTTTGTCTTCTCCTCTGGCTTGTCGCCCTTCTGTCCCAGCCTTTGTCTGACCGCATATCTCTGGACTTGCTCTGTCTCTGCCTACACTTTTATCTGTGTTTTTCTCTGCTTTGTCTGTATCTCTGCCTACTTTAGAAAGAGAACAAGGGCTCAGCTTGGTGCGGGGCTCAGTGGCCTGACTTTCCATCACTCTTGCAGCATCCCCGTCTCATCAGGGAGGATAGGCTGGGTTCCCTGCCTCCAGCTGAGCAAACAGTATCCCTTCCTGACCCTTCGGTTATTCACTCATTCATTCAACACACCTTCACTAGATCCGGCCTTATGTCTGGCTTTGCATGGGGAAATGCGAGCCCCCCACCCCCACCCAGTACACCCATTTTGGCCCTACAGCCTCCTCAACCTCCACACTGGGAACGTAGCCCCCAGATTCCCTCCCAATGCCCCTTCCTTACGTTGTCCAGACTTACCTATCCTGGGTCCCATGATTTTTGGGGTGCAGTGAGTCCAGCCCCTATTTCAATTTCAACAGTGGAGCTGAGCAGGAGAGAGGGAGTGATCAGGGGGGGGCCCTGGAGACAGCAGTCGCGAGCCACAGAAGGGAGGTGCTAATGTGGAGACTCCAGGTACCAGGCCGATGCCGCCTGGGCCACACTGGATGGCAGCCACCTCTTCCAGGATGGGTTAGAAATTCCTGCAAAACTTGACCCCACTCTCCAAGTGCCTGCCTCATTCAGCCACTTGTTCCTTCTGTCTCTGTTTCTCTGAATTCCTCTGATTCCTGGCTGGGACAGCCCAGGGCCAGAACTCTGTGGGAGGCTGGGTTTGTTTAGATCCAGCCCCGCTGGTGGGAGGAGGCTGCTGTGTCACCTCCCCCTCGGCCTCTTGCCTCAGCATTCTCCTGGATATTTTCTCTTCCTCTGTTAGCAGGAGATGGCAGGCAGAGGGAATGTCAGTGGTCCCCAAGCCCTGGGATCATTCAGTCCCGAGTCTCCAGTCTCCTCTTACGCTCCCATTCTCAGTCTGTCCCCAACCAAGCTCTTGTCCCCCTCACAGAAATTTTGTCACCCTCCATGAGCCCCATCTAGAGACCGTGTTCCCCCCACTGTCCCCTTTCCTGGAATCCCTGTCTTCCTCAAGATCGCATCCCCTCTAACTAACCCCCCATCTCCTCTCTGAGCTCTCAGGATCCAGAGCAAGGAGGAAGACCTTTCACCAGGAATCACAGTGGCCAGCCCACCTCTGGGGACTCATGGTAGCAGCTCCATAAAGTACAGGCATCTTGGTGGAGGGGGCTGGGGAGCAGAAGGGCAAATATGACATTTCCAGAGCTTTCTGGACTGAAGGCTGAGGATGGAGGCCTTGGGGCCAGATAGACCTGGGCCTCTTCTCAGTCCCGTCACTCACAGGCCACGTGGCCTCAGGCAGATTTCTGTACCTCTATGAGTATCATTTCCCTCATCCTTAAAGAAGGGACAGCTGGCCCCTCCCTTGTAAGGCTGCTGTGCAAGTTCAGTGAGTGAGAAAAAAGACCTGAAGTTCTGGAGCTCAGAGAAGGAAGCCAGGGTTCAGAACAGGACAATGAAAGAGAACACACCTGTTTGCTTTTCCAGCTAGCTCAGCACTCCCACACATGAGGCCCCTTTGGGTCCCCCTATTGACCTCATAGGCCAAGCATTTATTCTCCCGTTTTACAGATGAGGCATTGAGTCTCAGTAACTGCCAAGACATCACTCAGATAGTAGGTGGGGGGGCTATGCCTTGAACTTCTGATGCTAGAATCAGGCTTTTTCCTCCACCCAGTTGGCATTTGCTGAGGAAGACCTCTGGGTTTCCCCAAATCCAAGATACAGAAGTGAACTTGAAACAGTTCCAGGCATAGAGTCTTTGCATGCAATGGGGATGTAGGTTTGGAATCCAGCTTTTAGGGTGCAATAATAAGAGAAATAGACATCAGCCCCACTTGGCTCTGGGGGCTATATGAAGGGGCTAGTGGGAAGTGTTTGAAATAATGTGCATCCTGACGCATAGTGGCACTCAACAGGTACTTGTTGCATGACGGAGTCTTTAACAAACCTGAAATGTGAATGCATGACCACTATACTGGGAAAAGCCAATAGTTGGTTTGCATTGTTATGTAGACCAGGCCCCGCCTGCTTGAGAAAACCAAAATGGGTCTATTTCTCTAAATCCTTCAGACTGAAGTCAGCCCTGTGAGTCCTCAGAGAGATTGGCAGAGGTGCTACCTTCAGACTCTAAACTGCAGGCACATGGTTAAGAAAGAGAAGGTCTCTTTAGACTTTCCGGAAGCTCAGGTGCCTCCATATTGGCTTCAGAGGTTTAAAAAGTTCTATACATGGATTGGTCTGGGAATATGCTGGGACCAGCTTGCCTGGCTACATTCATGTCATCAATCTTTGAGTGAGACAATGCATGACACACAACACCCCACAAGGCATGGAACATACAGGAACCTCAGACATGAATGCTCTTCATTCATCACCTCAGCTTCCACAGGCATACACAGGCTGATCCAAGAATAGTCTGAACTCAGCTATGGAATTGGAGCAGGGGTCAGGACCAGGAGCTTCTGGGAATTAGGCTAACAGGTCTTCAGATGGCTCTTGGGCTAACCCTGCAGTGAGATCCCATTGTGGGTAGTCCCAACTTGGCAAGCCAACTTGCATGGCACCCCAGCTTTACTACTTGCCAGCATGGTGTTTGCTGAGTCCTGTGCATTTTACAGAGCCCCATGGTGTGTGGAGACGGCAACACCATCTGTGGATTCCCACAGTTTGCAAAACTGGCTGCCTTTTTAAGAGCCCCATGTTGTTGGCATAGCCCAGCACAGTTTACAGAGCTCTGAGGCTTCTGGGGCCCCATCATGTGCACACAGTCCTGTGTCTCATGCCAAGCCTGATGGCTGTTCATAAAACCCTGGGCTGTTTGCAGAACACAGGCCTTTCCCTTCTTTAAGTCAACCCATGTAGTAGGTTTGCAAACCAAGAAAAATAGGACACACTTCATTTTATAGAACTATCTGACTTTGGGTGTAAGGGATAGTCCTGAACTCTGGACTGGAGAACTCAGTTCCATCCCCAGCTCTGTCGCTAACTAGCTATGGGACTTAGAGAAAGTTCTTTCCCTTTTGTGGGTCTCAGTCTTCTCATCTGTTAAATGCAGATCATGACATCCAACCATCCCCCTTCAGGACTGTTAGGAGAATCAGTGTGAGAATGCCCAGAATATGGGGGGAGGGGGAGGGTAGCCAGCGCCTCCTTCCGGAAAAAGGCTCCAAACTGTTATTTCAGCATCTCTGCTCCCACTTCCCTTCTGGCCTGGCAGCCAGGGAGCGGATGTCTATAAATGAGCCCTTGGCTGGGCAGACAAGTGAGGACCTCACTCAGAGTCTCAGCCTTTCCTGCCCCTAGACGCTGCCTGGAGTCAGAACCCAAGCTACACAGACATGCTCCCATGCGTGGCTCATTTAATCTGCCCAAAGAAGGCTGTGTCATACTTATCTCACCATGAGGACCCTGACACTCAGAGTCCATGTGATTTGTTCAGAGTTACAAGTCAAATATACAGCCTGGGCTAGGATCAGAGCCAAGGACAGCAAGGATGGACACATGATACTTAGAAGGTCAGAATGGGAAGAAACTGGGAGCTCATTTAATTTATCCCTTTCCTTTTACAAGGGAGAGAAGACGGGGAAGTCGCATACTCTCCTTTGGCCTCAGTTTCTCTTTCTGGTGGATGAGAAACAAACCCTTCCCTGCCAAGGATTCAGGATCTTATCCCTCTTTGTTGGTACAGCTCTTGGATCAAAACACAGAAAATTCCCCAATCATATGAAGAGAAAGATAGGCCTATAGGCAGGTGGTTGCTTGGCCTGGCCACGCAGCCCCACCGGCCCTGGCTCAGCACAGCCAGCTTTGCACAGTCCATGCTGCAGGCCCTCTACAGCTTATACCACACTGGAGGGTCCTCCCCAGGAAGACGTTTTGCCCCAACAGCAGCCTTCCCTGGGTCTAATTGCATCTACCTCCCACCAGGTTCCCGCTCCTGCCTGGAGAGAATGTGCACTATGCTAGAAATTCTGCATCCCTCCCTGAAAATAGCAGCCTCAGGCCCCAGAAAGAGCACGAGCTTGGGCATCGGATGGTTCAATCCTGACCCAGTAAGAAGATCTCAGAAACTCAGTGTCCTCATCTGAGGTAATAGGAAACCTCCAGGAAAACCTGCAATAAACCTGACCATCTCGCCCTATCTTCATCTTGGTACTTGCATAGCTTCCCTATCCCAGGAGACTGGAAACTCCCAAGGCCTGGCTGGGTGACCTGAGCTAGTCACTTGCCCTCTCTGATCCTCAGTGCCCTTTGTCTTGAAATACCTTCCCAGGGCTGTCATAAGGCTCAGATGAGCGAATGGAAGGATTAGCGCTTGCTTAGTTCTAAGAGCTGAGCAGATGTGAGCCGTTATTAATATGGTGACGATGGTAATGGGATGACTCTTGTAATTTTGGAAACAGAGGAGGAGGAAATAAATCATGGCAGGTGGGTGCCAGGTCAGTCTGACCTGACTGGCAAACCCCATGGGAACAGATCATTGAAAAGCTCCCCTGAGGTGGGAGGGGACTTCAGGGCAAAATTGGGGCTCAGGCAGGCAGGCTGCAAGGCCATTGTTAGGAGCTGTCATTCAATGGGCACCCCAGCACTGTGGCCTCTCACAGAGTCTAGACCAGGCACTGGCTGGCCCGTGGCTCCCAGCCCTGGTTCTGCCACTAACACGCTGTCATTGATCAGATCCCATTTCCTGCCCGATCCCCAGTTTCCTTAGTATAAAATGGTGGTGGATGGATAAAAGGAAGGGTCTCACCCCACTTCACCCCTGTCTTTGGGGAAGAACCACATGAGCTTATCCACATATCACTGTTGTTGTAAAGTGTCAGGTGTGGGACATAAGGGATTACCGTTATCAATAATTTGGCTCCTGGGAGCGAGGACATGGGGGAAGGGTGCAGCCAAGGCGGGGAGAAGAGACGGGGGAGCCAGCATCCGCTCCGGACTGCAGGTAGTTTGAAGCAAGGGCCAACTCTCAGAAGGCTTTGCAACACTGCCCCCTGGGGGCCAGAGAGGAGGCTGTGCCCTGGGCTTTTCCTCCCAGAGACTCCTGTCTGGGAAAGGGAGTGGAAGGACCACTTGTCAGAGGAGGCTGAAGTAGATATAGGCCAGGAGGAGCCCAGTGAGAGCTGTCATAACTTGCCCTGCTTCTCTCCCTCCCCTCCACACACATCTTTTCGCTTCACAAGTCTTTCAAACTGGCCTACTTCTTCCCATCCCAATGTCCCCACCCTGGTCCAGACCACCAGCGGCTCCTGGCTGGGCCTTGCCCCAGGCTCCTCCCCAGCCCCAGCCCTGTCTCCTAAAAGCCTGAGGAAACTTTCCAACCCTTCAATCTGCTCCTCCCTGCTTAACCCCGCCCCCCCTCCCGGCCCTGCTCTCCCCAGAGGCCCTCGGGATAAACCCATCTTTCCCCGCCTGATAGCCAGTGCCCAGGCTTCACTGTAGTCTTCAGCCAGATCAGTATCTCCACTTGCAGATGAGACAAAGTAGCAGGTGGTCAAGAACAAGGCTTTGGGGCAGGACTGCAGGATGTTACTCCTGGCTTCTCCACGTGGTAGCTGTGTTACTCAATTCTTGGCTTGTTTGTAAGTTGTTTTGTATCATGGTAAAATATACATAGCATAAGATTTACCATTGTGACCTT